TACTACACACTTGCAGTTAGAATTCAACACACTGAAACAAAAGTCAGGAGAATCGGCAAGAGCGTTCAGATTACGCACAGACAAATTAGCCATGGAATTATACGAATCCATGATCAAAGGGCAAAGCAAAACAGAATAAAAAAGGACGATCTTAGAAATCAGCAACAAGCTCTATATAACTTTCGATTAGGATTACAAGATGACATAAAATTGTTAGTATGCGCAACATTATACGATACAAGATACCATAGTCGACGCGAGCGCGGAGGAAAAATTTAAGGGATCAACGGGGAATTTCGGGCGTCCGAAAATGAGTATACTCTATCCATCCACCCGCAAGAATAGATTGCCGCAATGTCACAAATGCGGAAAGACAGGACACTACGGTTGAGATTGCCAAAATAATAAATTTACCAGTCGATTCTCTCTATCACAGCCAGACAGGCAGCCGCGTATAAATACAATGAAATACTGCACAATAAACAATATATACTGCACGAATTGCAAGAAAGCAGGACCGTGCGGAATGCTGGATACTTCACAAAACCGAAAAAAGGAGTATTCGACAGGTCAAAAATAATAATACAAATAAAACGCGAATAAATACGATGATAAAGACGAGATGAGATAAACCACGAAAAAAAGCACTGACTCAGTGTCAAGCAACAGTAGCGGTGATGAAAGACCAAGGCTAACGCGTGCGGCCGGAAAGTATCAAGTCACTCAAGTAACGCGAGGAAAAACGCGCAACGGGAATTAATAACGCTACCAATAAAAGAGGCAAAAAAGGGAAAAGCAACTTTTTTCCTAGACACCTATCGCTATCCTCACCTTAATATAATAAAAATCGAAATTTCAAAAGCGAAACTCGAGTGTGTGAGAAACGCATTACGTTAACCGGCGTGACAGGACATAAGATCCACACGCTAAGAAAAGTAAGATTAATAATAAAACTAGGAAAAGAAGAAATTCGCCACTCAGTATACGTGGGACGATTTCCTTATGGATTACGAGAGAATACTCGGAATTGATTTTCTAGCCAAATAAAAGGCAAGATGCGACTAGATAAGATATTAAGTATCGGCAACATAAATCTGAAACTCCAGCCATATCAAAAAATACTGCTAAAACCATGTAGCGAAACAATTATCCAAGCAGTTACCAATAAAAACCAAGTAATAAGAATAAGAAGATAATAAGAACAGAACAATCAAAACCAGGAGTATTTATCGGATGTTGTCTGGTGAATCCCAAGGAATTCATCTGTCCAATAAGTATAATAAGTATGACCGAAGAACTCGTCGAAATAAACACATTAATGGTAAACTTAGAAAAAATAGGAACAAAGAGCACTGAAATAATGAACACGGTGAAAAAAGACACCGAGACCATAGGCGAAAGAAGAAAAGTGTGAGAACAATTACGCACAGATCACTTAAACATCGAAGAAAACATTGGAGCAAATGTATAATAATTATTGGAAACATTGGAGCAAATGTATAATAATTATTGCGATATATTTTATTTGGAAAGTGATTCACTCTCACATACGACTGCGGTGCAACATAAGATCACTACGCGCGCAGATAGCGCACTGGTCAATGTCCGACCGTACCGCCTGCCTAAGAAACAAAGCGGAGATGAATAAACAAATAAAGAAAATGCTCGAGGAAAAAATTATCCGCCCAAGTACAAGCCAGTGGAACGCGCCAATATTAGTCGTCCCGGAGAAGAGCGATGTATCCGGAGTACCTAAACTACGCATTATCGTAGATTTCCGGAAACTAAATAATTTAACGATAGGAGACTCGTTTTCTTTACCGAATATTACGGACATCCTCGACCAGCTAGAGAATGCGAAATACTTCTTGACGCTAGATCTCGTGTCAGGTTACTATCAAATAGCAATGCACGACGAAGATAAAAGCAAAATGGCTTTCTCCACGCCGTACGAGCACTACGAGTTTAATCGGATGCCCTTCAGTTTAAAAAATGAGCCCGCCACGTTTCAACAATTAATGAATTCAGTGTTAGCGGGAATACAGGGCATAAGATGCCTTGTGTATTTAGATGACATCGTCGTTTACAGACCAAACTTAAAAGAGCACAACAAAAGACTAATCGAGGTATTCCAAAAATTAAGAAACTATAATCTGAAATTACAATCAAACAAGTGTGAGTTCTTAAGAAAAGAAGTGACATATTTAGGTTATATTATTTCAGAAAACGGTATAATTCCGGATCCATCAAAAATAACGGCCGGATCTGTCAAAAATACCGTAACAAACTTTCCAGTATCCAAAAAAGTAAAAGACGTGCAATCCTTCATAGGATTAGCTGGATATTACAGAAGATTCATTGAAAATTTTTCGAAGATCGTAAAACCATTGATGAAATTAACCAGAAAAGACGAAAAATTCAATTGGATGGCAGAATAGCAAGATGCATTCGAAACGCTAAAAGAAAGATTAACGACCGCGTTTTCTAAATTACCCTGACTTTACAAAACAATTTATATTAACAACAAACGCATCCGGTTACGCCATCGGAGCGATATTATTGTAAGGGCCAGTGGGCCAAGAGAGACCAATTGCTTACGCGAGCAGAATTCTGAATAAAGCGGAACAGAACTATAATATGACGGAAAAAGAAGTGCTAGCCATAGTATGGGCAGTCAAGCACTTTTGACCGCATCTATATGGAACAAATTTCAAATAGTTACAGATCACAAGCCATTGATCTGGTTATTTAAGATAACAGATTCTGGCTCACGATTAATTAGATGGAGACTCAAATTAGAAGAATACTATTATGAATACATAAGGCCGGCAAAGGTAATACAAATGCTGATGCACTTAGAAGAAATCCGATCGCGCACGACACATAGATAAATAACGTCGAGCGCGACAAGGAAGAGTGCGAATACAGCAAAGACGAAAAAGAACAAATATTATATGAATATAATGCTCCCCTTGGAGGACATCGAGGTGTACACGCACGATAAACCGAATAAAATTAACACACAACTGGCACGGATTAACGAAAGATGTAGAAGATTACATCGCCAAATGCGAGTATTGCCAGAAAAACAAGTTAAGCAGAAAAACTAAGATGCTTCTAGTATTAACAGAAACGGCGGAAAGGCCATTTGAAAAATGCGCTCTAGACATCGTGGAACCACTCACGACCACTACGAAAGGAAACAAATACTTGTTAACATTTCAGGATGACTTAACAAAATTCAATAAAGCCATACCGATACCAGACCAAGAAGCAAATACAATTGCCAAAGAGTTTACTACAAAGATAATATGCGAATTCGCAATACCAGGAAAAATACTAATAGATCAAGGAATGAATTTCATCAGCGAGATGTCAAGGACTCTCTTAAAAATAACGAAAATTCAAACTATTGCATATCATCCAGAAAGTAACGAGGCCCTAGAGAGATCACATAGAACTCTAGCCGAATATTTGAGACATTATATAGACGAAGACCAAACGAATTGGGATAAATGGATCCCATACGCGATATTCACGTATAATACGACACTGCATACAGCAACGGATTATACGCCGTTCGAATTAATGTACGGACATCTATCTACGGCATTGACGACGCTGCCGAAACCGTACTACACGTACGATAATTATGCGCAAGAACTAAAGGAACGACTCCGAGCCACACAGGATTGACGAAGGAACACATCCGCGAGGTGAAACAAAAAGCAAAATGCCGACAAAAATACTAATAATAAGTACTATAAAATACTAGTAACCTTCAGGGTAGGAGATAAAGACTTCTTGCATGACGAAGCAGTGCGTCGAGGACGATCGAAGAAATTAGAAGCACCGTGAATAAGTCCATACCAAATAATCGAAAACATTTCAGACGTGAATTATAAAATTAAACGAAAGCGAAAAGTCGTGACTGTACACGCGAACTGACTCAAACTATTTATTGAAAACTAAGAAACGGACGCGCACGACGGAACACTTGTGAGGAAAATTAGAAGAAACATTAGTAAAAGCGAAGGTATAATAGGATTAGTAAATAAAATTAAGCACATACCAGTTGCGATGACACAGCACACGCACAACTCGCCGCCCCGTAGCGGTGCAGACCCGCGGAAATATCTCTTCTCGATCCACCCCGTGGACTTCTTCTTAGCCGCCACTCGCTGTGCTGCCAGCAACCATAACGTGCGCACGCACGCGTAACAGACAGCAGGAGTATACTCCCGTTCGCAAACTGTACAGCACATATTTGCAAAAACTGATTATTACTAGACGAAATTAGTACGAGCTACAGGCACCGTCAAATAATTTATTATATGCACTTCGCAGAGAAAAATGCACGGGTAAGATTCACCGAAAAACAATTCGAATCCCGATGCTCCTCGCGCGGAAAAATATAGATAATACGATTCCTGACGAACGGATGACGAAGAATCTTTTCATTTCGAAGAACTCATACCAAGATTATAATAAACTATACTGTCTATTACATGCACATGCAAAAGAAAAGGGAAGAAAGAGAAAAGAAAGAAAAAATGTACAAGCAACGTGAAATAAAAACATACGCTTACTTTAATATTATAATGGCAACACCTCCACATGTCGTACCTCGGTAGTGTCACTGACGATGACACAATCTGATTCAGCGGGAATCGCCGACTAACCCATGGCTCCCATCGAAAGATACGTGCACCTTGCCCCGTGGAATAAACATTTCGTCGCACCACATGCAACATTTCATCGTTCACATACACGCGCGGAGCCATAACGCGACACGAAACCAATAGGCGATCGCACGATGCGCACAGAGTAGGCGTGTAAAAACGAGTACATCCGTTACAGCGCATACGAAATATGTTGATAATAAACGGAATAACAGCTCGACGCGAAAGCTACTGGCGTGCACCAAGCAGCATAAGAAAAATTAAATAGAATAAGGAAGTGTAATATGAACCCCGATTTTTTAGGATATTAGCCATACAATGGCACTTATGCCGAGGCTGACCGCACCGCCACGTGCTGAAAAATTTCACAACACGCCAGGCATTTATTTCGAAAAACCGGGGTTAATGAATCAGGTACAAACAACCTGGAATTAAACTGGATATTAATGCGTTAGAAGAAAGAGCGCAACAAATGGAAAAATACCTAGATCAAACCAACGAGCGATGCAAGAGCATTATTGGATCCGTCCAGTTCACGTGTAAAAACATAATGCAAATAATGCAAAAAGACAACGCAAAATTAACACAGTTGCTAACGCGGCTGAGAACTATCTATTACACTAGAAACAGCAAACAAGGACTAATAAATGCAATTGGCGTGATAAGCAAAATGTTATTCGGCACCATGGATGTCGAGAACGAAAAGCATCTCAATGAACAAATACAAATAAGAAAGAAAATCAACAGATCTTAGAACACGCGAAAACTCAGATCAAAATTATCAACGCCACAATAGGGCACATGGATGCATTGGAAAAAACAGTTAGTTACAACGAAAATATATTGCGGAATGTCACGGCACGAATGGAGTTACAGCTTGCGAAGTATATGCAATGAGAGGACATGGATGAAAACTTATTAACACTGCGGACAATAATGATGGACCTCACAAAAGACGTAGAAAACACAATCGACTATTTGTCACTGACCAAAGACGGGATAGTATACGCGCGACTATTATCATTGGAAAAAATTGTAACAGCTGCGAGAAGCAGTAACCTAATTGATCAAGAGCTTACATTTTCCGTTTACAATACAGGTAGAAAACTGGCGTACGATCCAAAAATATATAACAATAAGCGCATGTTATAAACCGGACATTACACGATTATTCGTTTCCCGATAATTGCATTTCCAACTTTACACTAATATAAACTGTATCATTACAGCTACGCAATTACGGTACCTTTACATTTATAAAATTTACCACCCGCTAGTAGCGATAAATAAGGAAAATCATCACTACATATTACCAAACGAAACTATAGACGAACTATAGACGTGTATACAAGACGGATAATTGTACACATGCGAATAAGATTTTTTGTCTATCATATCAACACGAACGCACCATGCGAGGTGCAAGTTTATGTAAACGCGTCGGACCAACTCAAAAACTGCGAACAACGATGCATAGCATCTATTATATTAGGTGTACAAAAAAGTTCTGAGCTTTTTTTTGTAAAATTCAATCTTTATTCAAAAACAAACAGAAAAATATTAATCAGCGAAATATTCCCCGTTTGCATCAACGACCTTTTGCCATCTTAGCTCGAATTCCTTGACGATAGAAGCTCACCGGCTTCGAAGCGATAAAGTCATCAATGCATTTTCGTATCTCTTCAAATTTCATGAAATGTGTATCAGCCAAATGATGCTGCAGCGACCGAAATAATCGTAGTAATCGGAAGGCGCCATGTCTGGGCTATACACCGCGTGCGGGAGAAATTCCCAGCCTAACGCAAAGATATGGTCCTGAGTCGCTTTCGCAACATGTGGTCGAGCATTGTCATGAAGCAAGATCATTTTACGACGTCCTTGGCCAGCCAATGACCTCTTTTCTTCTAAAGCATCGCTCAAATTGATCAATTGTTGTTGGTAGCGGTCTGCCGTGATTGTTTCACCCGGTTGTAACAACTCGTAATACAACACACCTTTCCAATCTCACCAGATACAGAGCAAAACCTTCTTGGCGTGGATATTGGGCTTTGGCGTCGATGTCGAAGGTTGACCAGGGTCAACCCATGATTTTCTACGTTTCGGGTTATCATAAAGAATCCACTTTTCATCGCCTGTAATGATTTTGTGCAGAAAATCTTTTTTCCGGAACTTTGAAAGCAAAATATGTGCAGTGTCACGCCGACGATTTTTGTTGTCTTCGGACATTTCATGCGGAACCCATCTGCCTTCCTTCTGAATCTTTCCCATCGTATGTAAATGGTACGGAAATGGTTTGCTGCGTAACGCCAAGCTGTTCTGCAAGCTCCTTTTCAGTTTGCGCAGAGTTTATATCCAGCAGTGCTTGCAATTCGTCCGTTTCAATCTTTTGAGGGCGTCCAACACGCGGTTCATCTTCAAGACTGAAATCTCCTTGGCGAAATTTTTGATATCATCTTTTACATGTAGTATGACTTACAGCATTCTCTCCATATGCAGCACAAATCATTACAGTGGCTTCAGCAGCATTTTTCTTCAGATGAAACGCGAAGTGGATGGAAAATCGAATATGCTCTTTTATTATTGCCATCGTGAACACTACTGATTTTTGAGGTTATGTGCATCAAACACCAAACCATATGGCATTTTAGAAGGCCAAATGTTTAGAAAGCTTTAAAACCGCAAAAGGGCGGGAAGATATATAAAATTTAAATTGTTATTTCGGTTGTATGAAATCTAAAGCTCAGAACTTTTTTGTACACCTAATAATACACCCTTATGTGATAACATTAACGGAACCACAAGCATGGCTATATTCAATGATAACAAATAAAAAAATAAATCCAGTGCGATAAGTCAGGACAACAATTAGAGTTAAGCGGCAAAAATAAAAATTAACGGAAAATGTAAACAACACTCGAGGTAACACAGCGATAGTCGATGAAATATATACAGGCACAGTTTTAACACTTACGCTGCACGACAGCGAAAATAACTAATCAATAAAAAATATTAAGTTATAATCCATAATACAGAATCTACTCGAACTCGCTGGACTAAGTATACTCGAAGACGAGATAAACAACAGGTAGACAAAAATATGTACATATTCAGAAATAGCCATTTTATATATCCAATTAGCTTTAGCGGATTAATAGTAATTGTAATCACAATTATACGTTAATCACGTTATAATGATAATAATTGTAAAGAAAAAAAAATCAATGAAAAACCCTTCATCGTAATACCAAAAATCTGCGACGAAGCAATGCTATATTAAGAGCAAATGTAAAAATAAATGTAAAAACAAAATACTAAACCTATGTAAAACTTAACTATAAGATTAGTGTAAGCATTGCATATTGCGTCTCGAAATATCATTGTAGTACTAGTATAAGCACTAAGCTAAAAGAAAACTTCCCCTCGTTTCCTTTTTCCAAGGGAGAAGGGATGTTGCGAAGAATGTTGCGCAACCTCAATGATGCAAACCGATCTCGTAACATCGCTGATTAACTAGAATCCCAAGGATTCTGACTAACTCGAGAATTATTAAATAAGAAATTAAAATAAGTAATTAAAATAATAGAATAAATAATCGCCCTTGCCAATTGCAACGAACTAATGTGCAATTCGGCAAGGACGCTGACTCTGATAACACCGTGTCGACGCTGATGTAGCAAACGTTTCGACACAAGAACGCGTCAAAACCGCGTAACAGCGGACCGATAAAAGCGACGAGAGTAATCAAGCGGTCCTCAACTTAGAGGCTCACAAGTGACGACGTAGATATTAAAGAAGTGCGATCGTTTGTGAATGAATCGGAAATAACGACAACCAAATCAATTAAATAAAGTGTTTTATTTTAAAATTGGAGTGAAGTTGTGACTCCCCTTCCCACTTTTCCGCCACTCTCCCCTTGATTGCGCCCGGAGCGGCATAACAAATACAAAAAAAATCTACGATATTGATAAGTGTCTGCTATATTAAATAAAGAAAGAATCAGAAAGATACGATATAATAATAATTAGAAAGATAATAATTAAAATATTATAATAATTAGGATAATAATTAGAAAGATATAATTATTTAGACAATTATAAAACACGATTTCTCATTTGGCCCCACTGTGCGGCGGCTCGACTCCACTCGGCCGCAGAAGACTCGCGTGGGCATAACGAAATTAAAATGATAAATATGTTGTGATTATATATTGCAACCAAAATTCCATAAGACCTATATTACCGTCATACCGCTGACCAGCCAGATCCCGAGGATTCTGGCTAACTCGATATTTGTAAAATGTAATATTAAAATAAGTTTAACTAAAGGAATAATGCGCACCCTTGCTGATTGCAACAAATCCATGTGCAATTCGGCAAGAACGCTGACACGCGATAACACCGTATCGAAACACTGACCGAATCAAAATAGCGTTTCGACACGAGGATACGCCGAGGCCATAACCGCGTGCACAAGCACGCGGATTGATAAAAAGGGAAGTGAAGATGGTGCTCACTAGGCTCACTGGGCTCAATCGGCTCACTTGAATAACTCTAATAACTCTGTTCGTAAGCATCCGTCATATAAGTAAAGTTCGATCAATTGAAGTCGCATTAAGATCTAACAAGAAGAGGACGCGGATTTGGGATCACCGATTTTTAAAAGGCTTATATATGTTAAAGTACTCTACTAGAAGAGTATTTGAGCAAAAGGATAGGATGCGATGCTCAGCTGTTTTTGAGAAAAACTAGTTTAAAGTTTATAGCGTTTCTTATATACCGGCCATGTTAAGCTCATTGTCGCCAAGATCGCGTAGCTCGGACGCTCAGCCTTGTACTATCAATCTGTCGACCCGGGCACAGTATATACACTAGCGCAACTCTCTGTCGGCACTTTGGATGTCAGTTGGTCAAAATAGAATGCACATGCGTGAAAGTAAATTAATTCGCCATTTGAACTTCCTTTTCGTTTTATTCTCTTTGTTGGTCTCTTTCTAACTCATTAATATATTAAAAATAAAATGCGCCGCGAAAACATAACGAACACTTTATAATTATCAGCGAAATATTAGCTAATCTAATGAGAGACGTAGAAGACATATTAGAATATCTCGTCGGAATCAAAAATGGAATTCTACTCACGGTTGATACCATTAGAACAAATAATAAGAAATTTGAAAATCGCAACCACCGGAATCGCAACACAATTACCGGAAGGATTATATTTTCCATTCGAAATTAGAGGAGAAAATTGGGCAGTAATAGAAAAATTAATAACAATGAGTGCATATTACGATAAGAACACATATACGATCCTTCCCGCTAATTTCATCTCTAACATATGAAATACTAAGCGTATATCACTACCCATACCAAGCAAACAGAATACATTCGCGATGATACACATTAATAACCTGCTAATAGTACTAGACACCGACAGATACATAGATAAAATTAATTCGAGAAAAACTATAAGAATATAAAGAAATTAACGTGAACTATCTATGCGAACAAAACTACCCTATTTATAGTGTAAAAACCGACTCAATTTGTGAAATAGATACTTATTTAGAAACGAAAAACCAATATAAAAATTGTAACTTTAAATATGTAAAAATAAAAAATAGTATATGGTTAGCATTAAACGACCTGCACTCATGATTATATTCTATACGGAAGAAAGCGATCGCGATACAGTGTAAGGACATGCGGAAATACGAGAAACTATTGTACAAACCAGCAAAGTTACACTATCAAATAATTGTAAGCTATTGACAACCGACACAATAATATAAATAATATAAAATCTCAGACGATAACACGCGGAAAAGAAATAAAAACGTACTTGCCAAATTATAATATTACAACACTAAATAATAGTTTTAACGTTAATATAGATAAACTACAAGAAATAAAATTAAAAGTTACAAAATCCAACCGATCTTAAGGATTTAATCAAATCAATTACAACAAGTAAATAGACACAAACGAAAAACCACCTCTTATATGAACACCTCTTATATGAACATTTTGTTTATCCAATGGCAACAAGTGACATCACAATAGTAATAATAGTAATTGGAATAATTGTAATAGTGACGATACAAATAAAGAAAAGACAGAAAAAAGCCACTAAACAAATTCTAGTAGAGCTGAATAGAAATAGTGAACTACGTAGTATAGATCGCGCCGTTAGGAGAAGCAAAATACACGATTTTAAATAAACGATTATAATAAGAATTGTATCGGGAAAAGTCTTTATTTTGTAAATAGCGAAAACCTCGTACCTCCGTTTTCTTTTACTGACGGGGGGAAAGGGATGTTGTAGCCAGATCTACAACTAATAATAAAAGTAGTCCGCATGGCAACAAAAGTCTGCCACAGTGCGGCAACAGTAGTCTGCATGAATTTCGAAAAAAAATCTTTCGAAAGACGACACAAGTGCGTGATCACTAAAATTGCAATCAGTCTTTCAAAAGACCGTAGAAACGCGTCGCGCAAGAATATTGCGAAAAGCCGATTCCTTAATTTGCTGATCGAACGGTGCGCGATGTTAATCAATCGATTGTTTCTATATAATCAGTTACCCGAGGACGGGAGGACGGAGTCGAAATTGTAAGTCGTTCGGAATCAAAATCATAAGTCATATGAAGTCGCACGAAATATTACCGAAATCCGTTGCCAAGTTCACGCGAGCCGTCAGTATATCAAGTGTCACACCCGGTCGTCGGCCGCCAGAGTAACGCGAGACACGCCGAGCCGCTCGACAACGTTTCGTATCGTGTGTGAGAAATATAACAGTTGTAATATTATTTGTTTAAGCCTTTGTTAAAATAAATCGATCAGTTTTGAAAAAAGTGTGTGCTAGTGCTTTCAAGAGGATCCCTCCTTCGATCCTGCTCGGAGTTCCAACTCCTTAGGCTTGGTGAACCCGACTATCCTTAATAATAACGTTGTAGCCCATCCAGGGTACAATAGTACTTTAACATATAAGCCTTTTCAAAATCGGTGATCCCAAGTCCGCGACCCTCCTCTTGTAAATAAAAAAATTATAAAACGAGTATTCTTTTGAAATAAATGATTTATTTAACAAAAAGTATAGTGAAGTATTTGTCTGCTGCTTCCTCGCTGGATCAGAATCCTCCTCGTGCTTCACGGACAAAACAAAATTCTCAACTATAATTATAATGAATATTTATTATTGAAAGTTCATGCTGCTTAGCAAATTGTATAAATCAATCTTCTATTAAACACATTTTTAAAAATCGATAAATATAATGCAAAAAAGAGAAATTAAATGATAAGATCGTACAATATCATGAATTTATGTCAATAGTCGATAATATTAATATTCTTCAGTTAATTTCGGGCCTCCCAAGTCCTTTTGATGATCAAAATTTGGATTGATAGTTATTTTAATAATATTTCATCAGTGTCGCAGGTATTTTGTTACTTAAAATTATAATAAGTTACCTCTTTAAGTGTTTAAATATTCATATAAAATATAAGATAATATTAAATCACTAATGATTTCTATATCAATGTCCCAATACAATGTCTTTAATATTAAAAATAAATAATTAATTAGCTTACTAGTATTAAATTTCTGAAGAATATATCATTTAAGTATCATTACATTCTTCATTACATTTTCTTTCTTTTTATTATACAAAAACATGCATGCACGTAAAATATCCTAGTAATTGGATGATTTTAGAACAAGAGTACCGAACCTCAATCCCACGGAATTATTACCAGTGACGTCGACGCAGAGTAGAACTTACGTTTATAGAACCAGAGTTCCACGAAGTGATCCTGCCGAATTGGCAATGTCGACATCTTCACCGTTGCGGGAAAAGAACGTTGGACGTGCTATAACAAAAAGAAGAGGGGCAGTTAAACAAAACAAAATACACATTGTACGAGGCCATAAACTCGTGGCTAAGTTTTTTCGACAACCGACCTTCTGCGCTTTTTGTAAAGACTTTTTGTGGTAATATTTTATTTAAGATATGTTTTGTATTCTTTGCTATAATGTTTTATAACTTTCATCTCATGATTTTTGAATTTCTACAATTTTAATCTAATTTTAGTCTTTTATCACCCTGTTTAATTTTTGTTCCAGGGGTTTTGGAAAACAGGGATATCAATGCCAAGGTAAAATTTTTAATATTTACATTTACTATTTTTTTTTTATATATTACTATAAAATTGAACTATATGTATTTTTTTGTTACAGCGTGTCAAACTGCAGTGCACAAAAAATGTCATGATAAGTTATTAACTAAATGTCCCGAGAGTGGACGAGAATCAGAAAACACAATAGTAAGTATCAATGTCTGTATCAATGATTAAGGAAATTTAATAATATAATTAACCATACAATAAACCAAATAAAATTAATGTGATATTTTTTAAAATTATTTATATATACATAATTATATATAAATATGTAATATATAAATATATAATACATATAAATAAATGTATATAGAGAAATTTCGGACAACTGCGACAAACTTAAAGAGATATTAGTTTGTTAAGTTGAACAATTTTTGTTAAGTGTCTGGCAATGCTTCCCCTAAAAATTATGGACTGAAACAGATAATAAGTGTATCCTATTCGTTTCTGATTAGTTTATATATTTCTCAATATATTTCTTTTCATGCAATTACGGATAGAAGGAGTACACGGAGTTACCAATCTATTGGTTTTTATACGCAATGACAGACGATTAACTGTGTCGGCCTGGTTCCATATAAATATAGAATTTGATTCGTATATATAAGGTGTCCCAAAATTCCTACATTTGGAGTACACTACATGATTCCTTATGCTAAAAGAAACAACTTTTTCCTTTAGCAAAATTGCATTGATGAGTAGTTTTTACAGTAGTTTACAGTTTTTACAGGATCATATTAAAGGTGACGAATGAGCGTGCATATGTACGTAGTGGTCAGGACCGGCGCGCGTTCCTCAGGCCGGCGCGGCCTGGCATCTAATCTTTGACGACTTTCATGTACTGTATTGTTTAAAATATGGTAAAAGTTAACAAAGTAATATTAATATTATTATATGAAATAGTGAAGTAATATTAATATTATTATTTTCATCCTTTACGTAACGATTCAAGTAGGTATAATAGGCCGATTCTAAACCACTATGTATTAGTGAATATACATATAGTGAATATACATATATGGTACGTTTGTGTGTGTGTGTGTGTGTGTTGTGTGTGTGTGTGTGTGTGTGTGTGTGTGTGTGTGTGTGTGTGTGTGTGTGTGTGTGTGTGTGTGTGTGTGTGTGTGTGTGTGTGTGTATGCGCACCCTGGGAAGGGGGATGACGTCACGGGAGCAAGAGTCTACAGAGAGAGGGTGAATTTCCCTCTCTGCGTTTTCTCTCCCTCTACGTCGAACGAATTACATTGTACCACTATCATATTACTAACAAACGACTATCAATTATTATTAAATTATTATCAACGTCAATGATTACATGAAAAAAGTGAACGGCGTCATATTGAACGTCGATCGAACTGCGTTGTATCACTATGATATTACTATCGAACGACTATCAACGATTATTTAAACTACTATCAACGTCAATCAAACTATTATCAACCACTTTGAACGTCAATCGAACTGTGTTGTACACTACTACTATCGAACAACTGTCAACCATTATTAAACTACTATCAATTAAATTATTAGCAACTACTCTCGATGCGCGTTGAGGGAGTATAGGGTCCGCCCCTGCCTGCCATTACTCAGCATATTCGTTATCTCTTTCACATGTATACTTACCGCACCTGAATCACAGGTAGGATCTCTCCTTCTCCTTCCCATCTTACCGTTGCATGCTCTTCCCTTTGCCCATTACAGTTCTTTTAATCGTTTTCTTTTCTTCGAAGATCTTTTTTTATTATTTAATATTGTCAGTCTGCAGGAGGGGATAAGGGTTCGCTTTCAATAAATACAAAAATATATGATTCAGACGGATTATTTTGGATTATATTCATCCGATTTTTATTATTTGATAATAATATTAATAATATCAATATTACTGTAATAATAATAATAATAATAAGGAATGATGGAGAAGAGAAAAATAATTTAATAAAGTAATATATTTCTTCAGTATTTATTTTTTATATTTTATTAAAAAATTTTAATTTCGAAAGAAAGATATTTTTCAATATACACATTTTATTTCTCATTTAATGCATAATGCACAATATTATTTATAGCATAAGATATTAATTCGCATTCTATAGGTGAATTTTTATCCTAAATCTTGCGCAAAACTTGTACCGCATTGCATTTATCGGTGATACAATTTTGATGTAAAAAGTTTACAAATTGTTTAAATTTTTCATTTATGTCATATGTATTTTGACATAACCAGATATATGCATGCTCGATGCAATTTCCAATTCATATAAAAATAATACGATTGATAGCTTCATGTACAAGCAAGTATCATGCAATTGTAAGATTCAATTGTAATTCAACAATTGTAATTCTTTTGTTCTAAGATATTATTAATATTATTATCAGTAACAATATTAAGTTACATCAAGAATATTAAGTTTTTAATTAGTGATATTTTATTTGTTGTCTTTTCTTTTGTGATAAGGATCAAATTAATTTTTTGTTAAGTTTGATGTACTACTATCCAGCCGTTTATTAAAGACACATTCATTTACAAATCGCGCGATTAATATCACTAATTAAAAACTTAATATTCTTGATGTAACTTAATATTGTTACTGATAATAATATTAATAATATCTTAGAACAAAAGAATTACAAAAAATGGAATTATAAAAATCCTTTGCGTTAATAATTAGGCGATTATAAAAATTCGCAAAAATTCGAAATTCTCCGGACTAGCCCGCTGCTCTTTTGATAAGATCCAGAGAAACTCCCGTAGCGGCAGCAAGGGAGGTAGAAGCATGCCGAGTGCTATGGGCTGAAAAAAGATCGCGTTGCACTTTGTACTCCTCCAGACCTCTGCGAACCTAGCGACTCACCATTTGGATTCCGACCGCTTTATGGGGTCTAATACATGAAATAAACAATGCCTGACAATCTAGAGAACGTAATTCTTTAGTGCGCTATTAGATAATATTCTAAAATAGTTAGATAATATTCTAAAATAGTAACAATACAAAGCTGTGGGCGGTCGGAAAACCGTGGAAAAATGAGAAGGAATTGAATTCGACCTGGGGCAGAGGTCTTTATTCTGTCAGGAATTTTAATAATAAGTTTATTATCTGTTAAAAAAATATACGAGACTCTAATAGCCGCGAGAGTTTGTGCGCGCTGTCCTGAGGCTAAGGCTAGGAGAAGAACTAATTTTCTATTAATAATAGCGTTAGGGAATTATAAGAAAAAATTTTTGCTAGCTTCGCAATTACAGGAGTCAAGTCCCAAATAAAATCATACCGAGGTTTCTGTGATTTCATGGCACTGATTTCCCTGCCAAAAACGTTTGATCAGGGGATGATCGCGTTGTCGGAAACCAGAGAGATTGCTGAACGAATCATGTTAAACGACGAATAAAAACCGACCTTCTTTAGTTCCTAAGTTAGGAACTCAAATACTTGGTTAACTTCCGGAGAAAAAGGTGTAATCCAATATTTCTGACAGAAACTCCACTAGGATCTTAGAGGGCGAGCGTATTGTAAATGTGACTGTAGAGAGCGAAGTCAAAATGACGTCTAACACTGATGACGGGACTGCCTGAGATCTGAATGCCTTCCTGATAATTTCTCTGCTGCCAGGAAAAGGTTCTTCCACTCCGGATGTTGAGGTCTAAAGGAGATAACAGAAGAGAATGAGAAGGTGCAAAAAAGATAGGATCAGCGATTAGAAGGTGATGAAACATCGGAAACCATGGTTGAGATGGTCACCATGATATGACCAAAATTCCCGTAGCTTCATCATTAATTATCTTCCGTAAAACTCTGGGAATCAAAATAAAGGATGGAAAGGCGTAAAAATAGAAAGAGTGTCAAGATAGCGTCTATCGCCCAGGCGCCTGGGCCAGGGACCCAGGAAACATAAGTCACAGTTTTTGCATTTATTATATTAATGCAAAAAGATCGATGAAACGATCTCTCGATAAGATTAAATGCCTGAGCTAATAGGGACCACTCTGTATCGGTATTTACTATACATGATTCGCTGTCTGCAATAACATTGTTTATCAATGCAATGTAAGATGCCATAAGGTAGAGATTTCGTTCCTCACACCACCTTCAAATATCTTTAGCAATATCTGGATAGGAGAGGGTATTGAACTGAGCCAAACTTATTTACATAAGAAATGGCAGTGGTATTGTCGATTCGAAGCAGAATGTTACAGCTATGAAGATCAGCAAAACTCTTTGAGGCGTACAGCTTTCAATTCTAGAACGTTAATGTGAAGAGATCTATCTTCAGGTAATTACTAGCCATGCGTCGACAGTCACAGAAAGCTTCTCAGCCTGTGACGCATCTGAGAAAATCTCACGAACAAAGGGGGCAGACCGAATAACGTTGGATTGCTCAACATCCGAGAGTACGTTGAGCCATCAATTAAAATCCTCTCTCAAGTAAGAGGGAATTGCCATTTGCTTGAAATAATCCATAGAGAAGGCTTTAAGAGCCAAAAATTTCTCTCTTTCAAATCTCTTAGTATATAAAAGACTATATTGTATTGCTGGAAAGATGGAAACAAGCGAGCCAATCATACAAAATCTTTTACAGAAAAGTGTGTTTCTCTGGGAAAAATCGTATTAGTGGAAACAATCTTCGTCTTTTTTCAAGTGGGATGGCCACAGATTGCTGAACCAAGTCAAAAATAAAACCTAAATATTTACATTTTGAAGAAGGCGTAAGTTGAGATTTTGAATAATTGATGAGAAAACCTAGGAATGAAAGTAACTTTTGTGATGCGTGAATGTTTTCCTGGCTGAAACATCTAAAAGCAAAAAATCGTCAAGGTAAACTACCGAATGGAGGCCTTTTTCTCGCAATGATTTGACTACGGGACGCATAATCTAAGTAAAGATAAAAGGGGCGATAGCAAGACCAAACGGTAGGGCCTTGAACTCGTATACCTAGTCTCTCCATTGAAAACGAAGAAATTTCCTTGTGACGAATGGATAGGTATCAGTAGATAGGCATCTTCGAGGTCCATAGTAGCTATCTTATAATTAAAAAACATAAGGCGGATTATTGTGCGCCAGTCTTCCAACTTAAAATGTGGAGGAGAGATGTACGAATTCAGCCTCTGCAAATTTAAAATGAATCGCATTCCGGCCGAAGATTTCTTAATG